CAGCATGCCTCTGTTATTATTTCCCTCAATAATAACGGTCCCTCAAGTCACTGCTAATGCTGGGAAAAGCATGAATGTTCGCAGTCCCTTCTTCATCTCTGAGTTTCTGTTTCTCTCCTCTATTCCTTTGGGGTTCCCTCCAAGATTGAGCCTCCATGGGAATTCTTCTTCTTCTTCTTCTTCTTCTTCTTCTTCTTCTTCTTCTTCTTTTTTATGTTCTTGTTTTTGTAGAGACAGCTCTCATGTACTGCAGGCTGGCTTCTAATTTACTATGTAGCCATCGATGACCTTGAACTACTTTTCTTCTCTCTCCCTCTTTATTATCTATCTATCTATCTATCTATCTATCTATCTATCTATCTATCTATCTGCCTATCTGCCTATCTATTATTTATTGAGACAGGTCTCTTTATAGACCTGGCTGTCCTGGAACTCACTATGTAGACCACATTGGCCTCAAACTCACGGAATTCAACCTGCCTCTGCCTCCCAAGTGCTGGGGTTCAAAGCATGTCCCCCCTTAACCAGTTTATCTGGAGCTGGGGTCAAATCCAGAGCTTCCTGCGTGCTAGGCAGAGACTCTACCAACTGAACTATATCCCTAGCCCCTCCGTGAGTATTTTTAAAATTTTTTCTTTACTTTTATTTTATACATATGATTGTCTGTGTATATCTCTGTGCCCCATGTACATGTGTCGTCTGGTGCTCAAGAAGGCCAGAAGAGGGCATTGGGACCCCTGGGATTGAAGTTACAGATGGTTGTGAGCTGACGTGTAGGTAATTGAACCTCGGTCATCTGGAAGAGCAGCCAGTGCTCTTAACCACTGAGCCATCTACCCAGACCAATGGAAATTTCAATAACAAGATAGAATGATGTGTGTGTGTGTGTGTGTGTGTGTGTGTGTGTGTGTGTGTGTGTGTGTTTCCAAGACAAAATGTCACTGTGGAGTTCTGAACTGTCCTGGAACTCACTCTGTAGACCAGGTTGGCCTGAAACTCACAGAGACCCACCTGCCTCTGCCTCCAAAAGGCCTGGATTGGTTCTGTACCACCACACCTCGTTTATCATGATGCTTTTGACCAACAGAGCATGCTACAGCGAAGTCCTCCGTCTGTGACACCCATTTTTGCCAAACCCGAGTTCTACCTATATGAGGTTCTTATTCATTCTTTCATTGCACACAGAGGGGCGGATGTGCCACAGCCTAGGTGGGTCGCTCAAAGGATACATTTTCTAAATCCTTCCTTCTACTCATTTGGGAACTCCATGAACCCAACTCAAGCCAGGATTATACAGCAAGTGCCTTTACCTGCTGATCCAGCTCACAAATTGTGTGTGTGTGTGTGTGTGTGTGTGTGTGCGCGCGCGCGCGCGCGCGCGCGTACAGGTACCCTTGGGAAGTCAGAGGCGCTGGATCCCCTGCAGCTGTCCTGGAACTCACTCTGAAGACCACACTCACCTCACACTCAGAGACCCACCTGCCTCCTGAGTGTGGGCTTAAAGGCATGGGCTACCACCACCCGGCTATGTTACCTTCTTAACAATTCATCTAAGGTTCCAGAGACGGCCCCATGCTGTTGCAGAGGACAGGAGTCTGGTTCCTGTATCAGGTTGCTCACAGCTGCCACTTTGTCTGCGGGGCATCACATGTCCTCCTCCTTTTAAGATCGCCGGTGCTCGCAGGAGCACAGGCACCTCCCCTGTACCTACACACATAATGTGAAACAACACAAAACAACCCCCCTTACAAACAAGTCATTTACATTGAAATATGTGCATGCATGACACACGTATATGTATACAAATCTTATCCTAAGCCAAAGACTTAATGAAAATCTTTGTAATACATGTGGAATAAACACATGACCATTACAAAGGTCTACCAGTAAAAACAAAACAAAACAAAACAAAACAAGTAGGTGGAAACACCAAGAAGCTTGGCTTGAGAGTCTATGTCCCACAAGAGCCACAGCTTACAATCAGTCTCAAAAAAAATTATAGAAATTGCACAAAAAAAGATCCAGGGCTGCTAATTTCAACAGAATTGTGTTTCAGAAAAGCTCAGCTGGGTGTGCCCCTGCATGCCTGTAATCCCCGCACTCAGGAGGCTGAGGCAGGGGGACTGCCTAGAGTTTGAACCAGTTGGGCCACACAAAATGAGCCAGTTTTTAAAAACCAAACAGCCAGGCAGTGGTGACACATGCCTTTAACCCCAGCACTCTGGAGGCAGAGGCACGAAGATCTCTGTGAGTTTGAAGCCAGCCTGGTCTCCAAGAGTGAGTTCCAGGACAGCCAGGGTTAAATAGAGAAACCCCGTCCTGAAAAACAAAACAAGTATGAAATTTTCATGGATTATGAATCAAACAAAAAATTCTCTGTTAAATTAATATATTTGGAAATAAGTTATTATAAAAATACTCTCCACGAAGTAAAAATATTGACTGTGTTTTTTAAAGTGGCATGTTTTTGTTTTGTATTTGGGATTTAACTCTTTGAATATTCTTGAGTTGAAAAATTGAACCAACTTCCTACTGCTGAATTGGCTGCAACTTCAACAATATGAACAATTATCCATGTTCTTGGCTACATTATCACATACTGGCACATTTTAATGAGTATAACATTTGGTTAGGGCGGCCGGCTAAGATCAAAGGTATACACCGGAGAGCTCTTTTCTTCTAACCCTGAAGCAATTTATAATAATCGGCAAAGTTGTGCCACAAAAATCTCGGGGGGAAAAGTGCATCTCAGAAAGGCCTATTCCTTAAAGGCTTTGGCAACTCACAGTCACAAATGACACAGCGTCCCACTATTTCACCAGTCGGGATATTTCGGCGCACACCTTTGATCCCAGCACTTGATGCAAAGGCGGGAAGGCCTCTGTGAGCTAGCATGGTCTACAGAGTCAGTTCCAGGACAGCCAGGCTTATGTAGCAAGACCCTGTCTCAAACAAACCAACACCACCGCCACACAGACATTCACCGAATGAAAGGCTGTCAGACATCAAGCCTTTAAAAGCAATGCTTTCCTCTTAGTTAAATTTTTTGCTTAAATGACCAAAACGCCCGTTCCTCTTTTCCTGCATGTTTCTGTGCATGTGGAGGTGCATTTCTGACTGCTTTCCAACTTATGTATCACAGCGGGGTCCCTTACTTGAAACCAAGGCTCACTGAATCAGCCTGTCTAGCTTGCCATGGGGACCCTCGGTCTCCCCTTCCACCTGCCGGAGTGGCCGGGGAGCTGTCACACCACCAGGCATTTGCTTGGGTGCTGAGAACCTGGCTTCAGGGCTTCACTCTTTTTGGGCAAGTGCTTTAACCACTGAACCATCCTCCAGGCTCTAGAAAAAGGGAATTCCACAGAAACATCTGAGAGGCCGTCTTTTGGATCTCGAGGCACTGGTGTCCCGAGGTTACATTCACCCTGTAGTCATAATAGAGTGCAGCTTCAGCGCATGTCTGTGGTCATGTAAGTCAGGCGGAGATCTGTCTCACTATTCACTGATCTATGTGCACCTCAACTTTCTCTGGATGGGCAGATGACTGCAGTAATCTTCAGCCCTTCCCCTCTGGCTTCTATGCAGCACCCAGATAAACCCCATTACAAACACAATCACTGCTTTTCTGCAAAACTGTCCAGTTCCCATCTCAGAGCAAAAGTCAAAGTCTGTCTGCGTGTCTGCCTTCCTTATTTTCTGCCCTTTCTTTCTTTCTTTCTTCCTTCCTTCCTTCTTTTTTTTTTTTTTTTTTTTTTTTTTTTTTTTTTTTTTTTTTTTTTTTGACAGGGTCTCAGTACGAAGCCTTCGCTGGACTGGAACTCACCATGTAGATCAAAGTCAAACTCACTAGCTTCAAAGTCACAGACATCCACCTGCCTCTGCCTCTGGAGTGTCGGAACTAAAGGCTTACCCACCACACCTGGCAGAAGCCATGGCTTAACGACCCTCAAGACATATTCCCCTAACCTCGACCCATCACACCTGACTGTCCCGGCTCACCTTGCCAACTACCATACCTTCCTTGCCACTGCTAGAATACACGGGCCAACCAGATCCAAGTCCTTTGCATCTTTGGTTCCTTTTGCCTGGAGTGCCTGTCCCCAAGGCGTGACAAGGGACTGTGCTATCTTCCTTTCAGCTCCCCTACCAGGTGAGCCTTTGATCACCTTCCATGGGCTCCCGGCCTCCCCTCCCCACTGGTCTTTTCTGCCTGCTTTGGTGTCCCGCACAGTACTTTACCGTACGTATTGTTTACCGTGTGTGCACTCCTTCGTGAAGAACACCTACATTCTTGACTCACTGTTTTAACCTGTGCCAAGAACCGTACCTAGTACGTGGCACATGTTCAACAAATATTTGCACAATGAACAAACTTTGGGACTCTCCATGGAACTAAGAGCTGGCGGGTACCCCACATTCCCAGATGGCATCTGGTGTGTGTGTGTGTGTGTGTGTGTGTGTGTGTGTGTGTGTGTGTTTTAAACTTACATGCAGTACCTTTTGTTCAGTACATTCTTCTCTTTTATTTTTCTGAGACAGTAAGACGTTCACATTCCTCACTAGTTTGCAAGGGAGAAAACCAATGATGCAGAAAGCTGATTTTTGTACGATTTGATTCTTAATCTTATTGGTTAATAAAGAAAACGCCTTCGGAATGTATCCAGTTTCTCTCCCTACACTAATGGAAAATACAGCGAATGTGTGTTGCCTTTTGAAGAGAGAGGTGCTTCCTCGCAGAGCCTCAACTCTCTGGCGGTGCAACTTAGTTTTCTGGGGGGTGCGTATTGTTCGCGGGTGTCTCTTTTTCGCCCCAAGGTGTCCATTGTGCTGTGTGGTGGGAAGCAGGAGAGGAGCCGGGTAGGAAGGGATGCTGAGCGCCGCACGTCTGCACACAAAGTGGGCGCCCCGGGCGCCTTGGGCCGCGCACTTAGGCCCGGGCCGCCCCGGTGGCTTCCCCGTGGGCCCGTGCTCCCCCGATCCTCCCAACCCGGCTCGGTTACCTCGAACTCTCTTCAGCGCGATGGGCTCCTTGTCCTGTTCCGCTGACATTACCGACCGCCGCGCATGGCTCGCCCCCGGGCCGCGGGAAGCCGGTGTCTTTGATGCGGCGGCCCCTCCTCCTCCGGGTCCTCCTCCTGGTCCTCCGGGTCCTCCTCCTGCTCCCCGGAGTCCTCCTGGCCGAGCTCGGAGCCCAGGTCGCCCGGGCCCCGGGCCGACTTTGAAAAGTTTGGGAGGCAGCCAAGGCCTCGGGGCTCCGCACGCTCGCGGGGCTCAGCCGGGCTCCGCCGGGCTTCGCCGGGCTCAGGGCCGCGGCCTGGGGGCGGCGCCCGCGCCCGGCCCGCAGAAGACGCGCGCCCTGGGACGCGCCGCGCAGCGCTCCGCCCGCGCGCGGGGGAGACGCGGCCTCCGCGGACACAAAAGCCCCCGGCCTGCGGCGGCCGCTCGGGGGGACGTGGCGCGGCCCCGAGGCCTCCCCGCCCCTCCTGCGCTCCACAGCCCAGCGCGGGGCCGGGCTTCGGGGGCGGGGACCCGGGGCGCGCGGAGCCCCGCACCCTCACCCGCGCCCGCGCGGGGCTCCCGGGCCGCGGCCTCGCTGGGAGGCTGCGCTGCGCTCCCGGGGCGTGCGCGCCAGGCCCCGCGCTCACCCCGCCACCTCCGAGGCCCAGCACCCCCGGCTCTGCGTCTCCCGGCAGCGCCTCCGAGGCCCAAGGCTGCGCACAACCTGTGCAGGGCGCAAGGGCGCAACGTCCTGCTCCGCGCTCACCGCAAGCCCTCAAAGGCCCCAAACCCTCCGATTCTGCCTCCAGCCCCAATGCCGCCCCCCCCCCCGGGCTGCCCTCCGTCCTCCAGGCCCCAGGACCCCCCGGCTCCACGCCCCTCTGCACGCCCAGCTCCAGCCTCCCAACTTCATCCCAACCCCAGCACGCAGTCAGATTTCAGGAAAACTTTGTCAGAGAAAGCAGAATGGTTCTGGTTGGGTATGTGGACACCCCACATTCCCCATGCTGTGGCTTGAACTCGTGTTTCTGCAACGCCCCATTCCTTGGAGATGCAAGGTCTGGGTTGTTCACTGAGCTTATGGAATTAACGCGAGAGGAGTAGTGGGGCAGGGGACCTCACGTGGCTGAGTTGTATCCCAACCAAACGTGACTGTAAATTAGATTCCGCCAGTGGCCCGCACTGTGCCCTGGCTGTGTGACTTAAGACAACTGAGGCACACTCTCTTGAGGTTCGGCTTCTGATTTACAAAGTGAGTGGGACTTCATCTCGAGGGTGTCTTCTAGCTCTGACATTCCTTGATGAACCGTTAGGAGTTTTTCCCTGTCGTTGGGTTTCCTAGTTACTTTACTGTCCTAAGAAAAGCTAAGTGCAGACTCCAGCCTTCTATCAGGTTAAAAACATGCGTTGTCTTTACATCCAACCTTAGACAAGTATGTCCGACAAGTGCTCCTTAAGCACAGGAGGACCTAAAACTAACCAAAACGGCCTTCTTACCTTCCTACAGACCAGACTTACAGAACCCATTCAAACTCAGGCAATGCCGAAGGTAAAACCTGACATTAGTGGAATCTGCTTTAGGAAAAGAGTAGCCCGGCCCTAGTCAGTGGCAGAGACAGATGGATATCTGCGTGTTTGAGGCCAGCCAAAGCTATATATATACAGAGACAGAAAGAACTGAGAGGTTCCCCAGCACTCATATAAAAGCTTGACTTTGATACATGTGTGTCTGTAATCCCAGCACTGGGAAGTTGGAGAGGAATGGGTCCCTGGAGGCCATTGACTTCCCAAAGCAGTAGCAAGGGTTACTGAAAGACCTTGTCCAAAGACCAGGCAGAGGAGCCCGAGAGGCGGACCTCTGGTTAAGAGCTGCTGTTACAGACAGATGACTGGGATTCTACAACCATCCATTAATCCAGCGCCAGGAGACCCAGTGTTCGCTGCTGGGCTCTTCAGATACTAGGCACAGACATGGTACTCATACATACATACAGCCATACATACATACATACATACATACATACATACATACATACAGGCAAACACTCAGAGATATAAAATAACTTAAAAAAAAAAAAAAAGCTGGGCTTGGTAGCCCGTATCTTTACTCCTCACACTCAGTAGGCTAATCTCTGTGAATTCAGGGCCAGCCTGGTCTACATAGTGAGTTCCAGGACAGCATGGGCCATGTACTGAGACCCTGCCTCAAGGAAAAAAAACAAAAACAAACAAACAAAAAAAACACTAAACTAAAGTGGAGAAAAAAAACTAAGCCCTGGGAAGCAAACATTGCTGTTTCCTGGCCATGGAGATGATGGAATTGCTGCTTCCAGACTGTAGCTTTGAATCCCCCACCATGGGCTTCACTGTGCTTTGATCTATGAGCCTGAATTAACCCTTCCTTTCTCAAGTTGCTTTTGTCAGGACATTTCAGCACAGCAACAGCACTAACCAGGGCAGCACCTAATTCAGCTTGTGCAGGAGGAAGGATCCTTACAGTCTGAGGGCCTCCTCATGCTGTCACAGTGGCACCTGAATTGCGCCGAGATGCTATCCGGGGAGTGAGTGAGGGCCTTGCACACTGAGGGGGAGCAGAGGCATTCAGGGGGTTGCACAAAGTGACAGGAGGACGACATCATTGTCTGAGGTACCGGCCGTGGGCTTGCCGCTAGCCTTGTCTTTGTGAGACTGGACACTGGCAGAGAAAACTGTGGTGGTGACTTCAGATGAAGGCAGGCTTAGTTTTGACCGCCTCGGCCCTGAGGTTGGGAGGTTCAGGTTACAGGAGGATAAACACACTGAACTCATAGTACGTGAGGTCATACAAATGCCAGTGCCTGGGGTTGGGGGGGGGAGTGAACATCTGCACTGGGTATTTATAAGTTATTGTGTATCAACGCTGTATAATGACCTCAAATTCAGTGGCTTGAACAACCTTTAGTTGCTTATGATTCTGTGGACAGGCCATCGGTGCTGGACTCTGATACAATGGCTCTTTGTAGCAGCCCAGGGTGACTCGGGGAATTTGTGTTCAGCCCAAGGCCTTACTTTCTGGTAAGCAGATGGGTCTGAGCAGGCGTCATAACTGGGCCGTGGGGTAACATCCAGCCCCATAGTCTGCCTGGGCTCTTTCAGGCGATAATGTTTATGAGATTTGCAAGAGCGCAAAGGGAAGGCAAACCCTACCATTGCAAGCATTTTCCAAGTCTTGGCTTGTGTCTCATTGCTTAATTTATTTGGTCAGTTCTAGACCCGCTGTGGGAGGGGATTACCACACAAAAAAGGCAAAACAAATTGGGACCGTCACTCAAAACATACACGTGTCCTTCTCCCTGAGACTCGTGGGGATGGGGAGGGGAGACAGGAAGACATGGGGCTTTTTACACAAACAACTCTTCACAACTCCACATCGGTCATCTTCTTCTACTCTTCTTCACCTGGGAAATGTCAGATCCCAATGAAGAGTTGTCACTATGCCTCAGCACACCTACGGGAGCCAGCAGCTCGGAAACAAACCTTTAAATGTCAAAGGGGAGCTGAAGTTGCCTCATATTGATCCAGCCCACGCTGACACGGAGAGAGCTGTCGGTTTGTCGGGGTCTAGAATGACCCAGGAGACAAGCCTCGGGCAGCTGTGAGGAATGATTAGGTGCCCACCTTCACCAGGGGCAGCGTGGTCCTAGTTCCTGGGGCCTTGGACTGAATCAGGAGAAAGGGAGCCCGGCTCCGGCTCGTCTCTCTGCTTCCTTACTGAGGACGCGGTGTGACTGGGTGCCCCTGCACCGAGAAAGATGCTCAGCCTATGAGCCACAACGCACCCTTCTTCCTTAAGCTGGTTAGGGATTTTGCTACAGCAAAGATAAGTCACCATTGCAGGTTCTTTCCCTCCTGCCCCGTCACTCTCCTTACGTCCCCAATACGATGTAACTCCTTTCAGAGACATCCCTTCACCTCTGTCGTCAAATCCATGAGACTCAGCCACGAGTTTCAGGGTTCATTTTTATCGTATCTCTTCTTCAGAGCGATGCAAGAAAGTAAACAGGCCCCACTGTTTAGAAAGACAAACTCAGTGACCTTGGACCAACCTGGGGGCTACAGACACACATGAAGAGTCACCCAGAGCCAACCAGGAATAGAATTCAGACCAACACACATCTTCAAGGTGGAGACCGAGAAACCTATAAAGGAAATTAAGAGGAAACAGAACGTTGCAAAGCAGATTGTAAGGGGGATCAAGAGAGGAGTCATGCCCTGTACAGCCACACCCCAGGGTGGGCCTGGTGGTCAGGAGTGGCTGGCAAACACAACATGGACTCCACGGTTTTGTGTGTGCTTTTTTCGTTTGTTACAGATTGGTATTTTTTTTTTTCTTCCTTCCTTTCTATGTGACCAATATGGTGGTTACATGAGCTGTGTTTTACAGCAGTAGGAGAAGGCAGGCTTTTTTCAGGGTATAAATACTCCCAGAATAGGCAGATTTCTGCCTGAGAAAACGTTTTTAAGAATGAGTGAGCAAGAGGCACAAATATTTGTGAATGAAGCACAGCCAAGTCAGAACTAGGTAAGAAAACAGGGCAAGGCTTAGGGTGAAAACAATACTCTTACTATGGGACGGTTGGTATTTTATAAAAATCCCTTTTAAGAGTCAGACAGTGTGCCAATTTTAAGCCCTTAAAAGCCTATTTTCATGATTCATCTATGTCGTATATGTATCAACATTTCATTTCTTGGGGGGCTGAGTAATACTTACAGATAGATTTCCATGCACCCCAGGCTGTTGCCCAGGCGGAGGATGACCCTGAACTCAACATCCTCCATCTCCCAAATGCCAGGATTATGGGCGTGGGGCAGCCAGAGGACAATTCAGGAGTCAATTCTCTCTTCCACTGTGTGGGTCCCAGGAATTGAACTCAGGTCTTTAGATGGCAGCAATCGCCGTTACCCACTGAGCCATCTCATCAGCCCCTGTATTTGCCCTAACACATGTATTTGAGCTATATTCCTAGGTACCCCTTTACCGTACCCATGTGTTCTCAGTCTTTCTTTCTGCATATGTTCAGTCACGGCTCCGGGCTGGTGTTTTCATTCAGTCCAGTTGTTTTATGCTCATTTTGATGTTTAAATTCGTAAGTTATTTAGAAGTGTTTACAAATTTCCAAATGTCTAACATTTTTCTTTTCATGATTAGCCTTTCATCTCTACCTTGGGGTTAAAGAACATGGCCTGAAGGATATTCACTCTGATACTGTAATTCCAGTTCCAAGAGATCTGGTGCCCTCTTCTGATTTCAGTGAGCACTAGGCACACACATGCATGTAGGCAA